GGCAGGGAGCTTCTCAGCACCGACGCTCGCATGCTATCGCGGTGGAGTGAGGCGGTAGTGGACCGTCCTCCGTTCCACCGTAGTGGAACGAAGGACACGACTACCACCACCGCTACTACCGTAAGGAACGGTGGCAGCACTGACGGGTGATTGAGCAAAATGCCCTTTGCACCCCATGAATATTGTGGCACTAGACGTACACCGTCTACGTTCGCTGGAACGCTTGCAGTGGATGTAATGGACAACTACCGGAGGCACTGCGGACATCCAACGGCTGTCAGACATCCTGACATCATCAGAAGCCGCATGGGATGAGCTGGAAGCAAGTGTCGATGACGAGGCGGATGGTAGGTGGTACTGGTCAAGGCAAGGCGCCAAGACCCGTTCGCCGACACCAGGGTGACGAACGGAAACTCTCAATACCAAGAGAGGAAAATCGAGCACACCGTTTTTCACAAAGACCTTCGATTTGAAGAAGCGGTACTTTGCCGCCATCAGTGCAGCCAGGAGAGAGAGAGAGGGTGGTCGTGGTCGGTAGGCTGTATTTCTCCTTGTCTCGGCTGGGTCTGAGAAAAGGTCCCGAGCTGCTCTCCACCCCCCCCCCCCCCCCCCGGCCCCACTCCACTGTCCCCATGGTAACGGAGCGTGTCGTTCCCAGCGTGGCAAGCGTGGTTGACTGCTGCTCATAATGGCTTTCACATGCGATGGAACACGAATTCGACGCCTGAGCGTGTCGGCGAGGTGGCAGCGTTCCCTGGGCTCCGTGTCGCCTCCTCACGCGCTGAGCCGCCGCGCCGGAGACGCCGCAGATCACGGCGGCCACACGCTCGCACAGCGCCGCGCCGTCCTCCGGGTGTCCCGCCAGCGACACAGGAGCCCGCGGGCCTGCACAGCACGTTCGCGCCGCGGCGCTCCGCCGCGGCGCCGGCGTAATGACAACGACACGACCGCGCCGGCGCCGCGGCCGCCGCTCTGCCGGCGCTCATGCACGGCGCCGGTTCAGCTGCTGCCGCGGCTAATGCGACGGTACTCTGGCCGACCACTTCTCACAGCTTTGATTAACCCCGGCGCCCTCGGAGACGCGACGCGCCGTGTCGGCCCGGAGCGCCGCCGCCGCCGCCGTCGCCGCCGCCGCACCCCGCCGCCGCTGCCGCCGGATGGTGCGGTCGCCCGCGCTGCCGTGGTTTGCGGTCGCCGTATTCTGGCGATATCCGCTGTAATCACGAACTTCCGACGCGCCGATCGGACCCGTTTTCAGCACAGCGGTACGTGAGGCCCGTCGGTCGCACGCGGAGGCGCCCGGCCGTGGATCAGTACACGTTCGCGATGCTGGTGCTGCCCGCCGGTGACGGCACCAGACCCGGTGGGGCACTAGCCTCGCTTTGTCCCGAAACAGGGCGAATGTGAATGGTTTTGTCCGGCCTGACGGCGTTGTTTCCAGCTGGCGTTCGCGACGTGGAGGCGCGAGAGACTGTTGTTTTCGCCGCGCTGCCGGCTCTGCTAACTTCACAGCGTGGTCTACGCTCTGCACGTGGGCGTCGCTTGCAAGGACGCAGACAATGCACTGCAAAGGCACCTCCAGCTACAGTGTCTTTGACTGCGCATTCGGACACGGGCCGGTCCGGGACCGACGTCGAATAATGAAGGGCGCATATCGCTCTCAAACAGCGTGAGCATTGCAACGAACTTTCACAGTGCAGTGACAAAGCCCTGCAGCTGCGCGCCCCCGCTCCCTAATCGAAGCAAGCTCGACACTGAGCTATGACGACAATTTGTTCAATTGTCGCAGCGTTTCTAAACACCCGGTAATTACTGCTGCGGTAATAAGCGGCGATGAAAAGGGTACGAGCCTGCTGGCTTTGGTGAAAAAAGAATGAAAGAACCCGCCAGCCTGGCTGCATTTGTCGGGCTTTTAATCACGGGGCTCAGTGGCTGCCGTCATGCACATCGAGTCGCGTTTCAAAAACGCCAAACGGGTATTCAGCTATTCGGCCTGCTAACGGCGTCGCTTGAGGTCGCCTTTCTGTACTTCTTTGACAGCACGGCATGCATTTCTTTGGTTGACACTCTATTTTGCTGGAAAAAGTCGTGACGACAGGAAGTTTTCGTTTCAGAGCAAGCGAATTTGTAACTAATGCACCCGATTTGTTTGCACGGGCTCATCGTGAAAGGCATATTATCGGAAATGTAAAAGAAGTTACACAAGGCCTTCCCATCAGGACACATATATTTGTCACACTAGATTCTATCCCATAGCGTATGTGGCGTAGTTCCGAGGCTAAAAGCAGAGCGGTTAAACCCTGTATGACATATGTCAAATGTATAACCCTTAGCCCTATAACCCTTAAACATATAACCCTTAACTTATAACTTTAACCCGGTAGGTATATAAAGCAGAACGGTCAAGCCCTCAAGACATATATTATATGATATATGTCCTGAGCAGTGCCAGATGCCCCAAAACAACGCCGTAACAACAACCTTAGCAAACTGCATCGCAATTCAAAACTTCAGACTCATCATATTGCAAATGCCAGGTGCTATACACTCCTAAACGTACTGCTAATGTTCACGTTGTTTCACAATAAAACGCTACCAGTGCCATAGCTTTTTTGGAATCAATCTGATGCCTTGGCGACACTAGCTTCAATACGAATCTTACCGCTCACAAAACATCAAGTCGTCAGAATTTGTCAAATTCAGCAAACGTGGGGGCTGTTTCCTTGGCGATTTCGTGGGAGCCTCTGGTGGCTGAGCTTACCTCCCATAGCTCTGAGCAGCGTCGGTGGACGTTTTTCGAAATGCAAACACTCATCAACTAAGCACCACCATATGTACACACACAAGTAAAAACGATCTTCACGAACACACTTAGGAACTTCAAGAGGAACTTTCGTTGCGTTGCACAAGGCAGCGTTCTTGGGACGCTACATTTTCCGTCGGGCGCGTCGGGCTCGTCGCGAGCCGCCTCCCCTGGCCCAGCCGGCGCTCTCGGAGGTCACCACACCTAACCGGCGCCCTTCCGGCAGCGAACTGATCGCGGATCACCACCGGGCCCAGCATCCCCCAGAGGCAACGCAAATCAATGCAAACAAGCCATTGTGCAGTGCGCGGCCGCTTCGAACGGACGCCCATTATGCCACGCATATTCTCCCTTTCATGTCCCTCTTTGAGGGTAGCGGGGCAGGAGCGGGTAGCCGAAGAAAGCGGCAGCCGGCCGGGCGGCATTCCTGCAGGCGCCGCGCCGCTGCGGCCGGCCCTGAATGGGGAGCCCGGCGGCGGCCGGCCGCTCAGCTAACCTTTGTCATTCCGATCTGCCGGACTGTCAACCCGCCAACAGCTTAGTTCGGGGCGGGCGGCGGCGCACCGGCGCCGGCGATATTCATGTGCGTTATAGAAACAGCCTGCTGAATTAATGATCGGCCCCCTGGAAATAAATTGGCCATTGTTGCGAGTTCAAGGGGACCTGGAGCTGGCGGTTACAAATTAGCCAGGTTTGTTTGCCGCTGCTGCCGAGGGTTGCAGCCTGCGGTCGGACGGACCCGTCGAAGCGCGCACTCGAACGCACCGCCAGCTGACTGGGTCTCCTGAGCCACGTGCGGTACCGCAGAGTCCTGAGCGGTTTACAGGTGGGCGCTGGGTATGTAAACCAGCGCCATTTTGTGCCGCATGAGTGGGCCTGTTTCTTTTCCGCATCACAGCGTGCAGGCCCGTCTGGACGGCTTCCACCGACCCGAGAGTGGCCGAGTCCGAGTCCGTGGCACGACGGCATCGTCTCTCGTCCAGGGCCCGAGCGCCGCCCGCCGCTGAGGGCGGCGGCGCGCGCCGGAATGCTGACGCCGTGGCGGGCCGACTGCTCAATTAGCGCCGGCCTCAGCCGTCGCCTGTTGTCTCACTCGCGCACTGTGTGTCCAGCTAATTGACGCTAATGAGGTGGCCGCCACTTGCGCCGCTGATTAATTCTGCATCGCTCCCGGCGTCGGCGCTGCC